TGCGCGCTCAGCCTCAACACCCGCGTGGATGAGGACAGCACGGCGGCGCTGCTGCCCGGCGGTGAGCCCCGTCCCACGCACCAGGGCCAGGCCCGGCCCAAGCCCCCTCAGGAAGGGCTGGGGTGCGCCCCCGGGGTGTTGGGGCTGCTGGTCTGCGGGCACAGTGGGCGTGTCCCCCAACGCCCGCGGGGGGGGGGGAGCCTGAGCCGCCGGTGGGGAGCCACCAGGCAAACACCCAGAAAGCAGAGCCGGGTCCAGTCTGCTGCCCTGGCCCTGCGGTGACGCTCTGTGCCCCGCAGGGAAGCTGATCCTGTCGCTGGACAAGGACACCTACGAGGGCTGCGGGCTGCAGGGCCGCCCGTCTCGGCTCTCGGGCAGGGCCGCCCCGAAGTATGGTGAGTGCCGGCGCCGCTGACCAGCCTGCAGACTGGGCGTCCGGACCGTCAGCAGCCCCCCTCCTGGCAGATGGGGTCCCCGGGATCTCGCCGTGACTGGGGTCTGTGGGCAGCGCGCTGGATAGCAGTGGCCAGCTGCGTCAGAACTGGCCCCCGGGCCTGTGGCCTCGGTCACCCCCGGGAAAATCTGCTCTGAGCCGTCAGTGTGGGGGAGACCGCAGGGGCGCAGGGAGAGGAGACCAGCCGCCTCCGCAGTCCCTGCGTGCTCGGCTACTGTCCCCTCCTCTGCCTTCTCAGTCGTGTCCATCGACCTGCTGGAACTGGCCGCGCAGCCGGGCTCCAAGACGGCCCAGCGGGTCGCCTGGTCTTTCACAGAGAAGCCGCTCAAGTTTGACTTCCTCTTGGCCTGGCACCGGCCAGGTATGGGGCTGGTGCCTGGCCGACGGGGCGGGTGGGTGGACACAGGGTGCTCTGCTGGCCCGCTGCACGGGCCCCAGGGGCATCGCTGGCCCCCAGGGGTCCGGGGCGCGCCTGCTGGCGCCCTCACACCCGCATATCCCAGGTGCTGATGCGTCCACGCTGCCCTCGCACTTCTCCAGCTACCGGGTCCGCGAGCACCAGCCCAAAGTGTCTGTGAGCACTGTGACGGACCTGCCCTGCCCCCTGCTGCAGAGCGGGGCCCTGGGGGGACAGCCCGAGGCCTCCTGCAGCGCCCCTGAGTTCCTGCAGTGGCTGGGGGCGGTCTTCTGCGGCGCTGACCTGTGCGTGGGCGGGGCCGGCCTGGAGGGGTGGGACGGGGCCAGTGGGGTGGGCGTGGCCTGTCAGGAGGTGGGCGGGGCCTGACCAGCGGGGCGGGGCCGGCCACAAGGGGTGGGGCCTGACCAGCAGGGTGGGGCCGCCCGGCCTTGTGGGCAGCGTCTCCCTCTCTGCCACAGGAACAACCAGCCGAGCGACTTCGTGTCCACCTGCTCCTGCCCACAGCCCAGCGCGGTGGCCGCCCAGGCCTGCCTCTGCACCGTCACCGGCTTCCTGCTCCCGGACAGGATCCGCCTGCTCCTGGACCAGCTCTGGTGCTGCCTCCTGACCCCCACGTAGCCACTGTCCTCCTTCAGCCGCTCCTGCCGGGGAGCAGCCCTCCCCGGCAGGGCAAAGGCAGCCCCCGGCCCGGCCCTGATGTCCTCCCCGGCACCCTGGGAGCCCAGCAGGCCCAGCCACGTGCACGGGGGAGCAGGGCTCCGGCCAGGCAGGCCCGGGGCCTAGCAGTGCCCACCGCCAGGCCAGCAGTCCTCTCCCCCCGCCCAGTCCCTCCTCCCCTGCTCGCCTCAGGAGGGTGGAGGTGCCCGGCTCCGCGGTGCTGGGAAGGGCTGGGCGGGGCTCACCAGGGCCAGGCCGGCAGTGCTGTCCCGGCACCTTTGGGGTGGCCCACAGGGACGCTGGGAGGGCAGACACCCCGCACCCCTGCCCCGCTGACCGCGGCCCCCTCCTTCCCAGCCGCTACTTCGACGAGCCGAAGCTGGCCCCGTGGGTCACACTGTCTGTCCAGGGCTTTGCGGACAGCCCAGTGTCCTGGCGGGAGCAGGAGCACGGCTTCCGCACCGGCGGGGAGCATCTGTACAACTTTGTGATCTTCAGCAACCGCGACTACTGGCTGCAGATGGCCGTGGGGGCCCAGGACGAGTGTCCACCATAAAGGAGAGTCTAGGTGTCCTGTGTCTGTCATGCTTCACCGACTCGTGGGTGGCGTGGCCCATACGTGCCTGACTCCCCTGGGCCGTGGCGGGAACCAGGCGGGGCGGTGGGTGGGGCCCGGACGCCTGGCTGGACACCTGGCCACGGCGGCCCTGCCCTGACGGGTGCCCTTGGCCAGCCTGCACCGTATCCCCAGCGCCGTGGGCAGGGCCGGGGACACCACGTCAGAGGCCGGTGAGGGGGTGTCCCGTGGACCTGACACGGTCCAACTGGAAAGGGCTGACCTCTGGGGGGGTGGGGAGAGGCCACGGGCCAGCTTGGGCCCTTCAGCCACATTCACCCCCAGGACCGACCTTCCGAGCCTGGGGGTGCATAGAGCTCGGGGTCTGTAGGGCGTGGCTCCGGGTGAGGCCACCGGGGACTGTGGCACCTGTCAGGCAGAAGCAGCAGACCC